TCAAAACATCCGAATGATACAATTATTAAAGTTTCGACCAGGGTTCAAAAGCCTTATACGTTTATATTGACTTTTACAAAATAATGTTTGCACTAATTATTTATCGGAGGTATACACGCAGTGATCCGTCCGTGAGCGGGAGTCACGGAGGTCAAAGGTTTTATGTTGCATATGACAATATGTAATTACAGAACCTATGCAAATGACTACGTATAGCCCTATTTGCATATAAATGAATAGTAATTGTCCAACTGTCTGAAAACAAAACATAGAGGTCGCAATCGTCAATCCACGGTCTCTGACATGTTTAACGAAAAAAATGAAGACCTGTTGGCCCGTCGATGAATTTAGAATGATTTCATATAAAGGTGCGAGGCTCTGTTCACAAAAATATCGGCATTTATTGATTTTATTTCAATTTACATTATTTCAAATTGGTTTGTTTTCTGTACCAATCTTTCGTTCCTTGTGTCTATTTAGTCGTGCCGTGCTGTGCTCTACCCTGCCGTGCCCTGCCCTGTTTTGTCTTGTCTTTTCATTTTGTTTAGTCTTTTCCTGTCTTGTTCTGTCTCAATTTGTTTAGTCTTTTCCTGTCTTGTTTTGTTTTGTTCTTAGTTTGTTTGTTTGTTTGTTTGTTGGTTTTGTTTTGGTTTGTTTGTTTGTTGGTTGGTTTTGTTTTGGTTTATTTGTCTGTTTTCCCCAGTCTTGTATAATTTGCTTGTTGTTATGTTTTAACGCCAGCTTTTCTTGCCTTTGAAAAGTTTTGTTAGGGTTTTAACTGTTAATCCTTGGATCTAATTATCTTTTGAAGTTTTAGTTTTAAGGCGGTCTTATCTTTCATTGAACTTTGTATCTATTTTAAATATATTTTTGTATGTTACATGTACCATGCAAGTTAGGATTGACCGGCTTTCGAGTCACAGTGTTTTATTATACTTTTGTCAATCCTGGCCAGCTTGGATTGGATGTTTTTGTTTAGTTTTGTTTACTTTTGTGGATTGCTTGTTTTTTCTTGAAATTCGGCCGAATAAATAATAATAATAATAATAATAATAATAATAATAATAATAATAATAATAGTAAAAATAATAACGACGACGACGACGACAACGACAATAATAATAATAATAATAACAGGCGACGACGAGGCGATCTGCAGCAGATATGAACGGGTATATACAAGTACTATCAATGCATTTACTCATAACTAGCCTTAAAAGGCCAGTGATCTTTTGATTAACAAAACCTTGTCCTCTAGTTAATTTATACATTTTTTTTCGATTGAAATTCCTCTAAAAATACAGCCTTTAAACAGGGGCGTAAATCCGGTTGGTGGGGGTGGGGTTTATATATGTCGATGAATTTGAAAAAAAAAAAAAAAGTTGATGTGAGTTTTTTTATTTAAGCGCGAGTGTACATATAGATGTACATCTGTATTATGAAAAGCTTCCCCAAAGTGTTATTTGGTATCCACCCTCCCCCGTTCCCGCTTTTCGAATTTCTACGACCCGGTAATGTTTGGATTTTGGTCATCCCCTTCCCCCTCTCCCGCCCACTCGCCGTCACAGACTTACGCCACTGCCTTCAAACCTATTTTAATCACCCTATGGACTCTATACAAGTCTTCCCAGAAATTCAACTGAAAAACAAAATGAGAACCTATGTGGACGACAGCGGTGATCAATGTAACAAGGGGATTATTTGTAGAGTACCACTATTGTTTTACACATGTGTTCCAATCAGGGTCAAAAATCCCAATGTGTTGAATTTACACCGCAGTTTTTACAGTATCTGTCACAGCTGGGCACTTTAAGGGGAGTAAATTCAACCTTGTAGCAATATTCCGAAAACAAAATGAGATTGTGTTAATCATTACACAAACAATGATACAAACGTAAACCTGCAAATATACCAGAACTGGATGATAATCACATATTTTAGTGTATATGTTATTGTACAGATAGGTGACCTTTGAACAGTCACACCCCAACGATTTTTTTGTACGTGTGCGTGATGGACGGTCGATGCTTGACGCCATAATAAATGAACACTTGGAAAGACAGACTAAGGAAACAGTATTATAGGCGTGTTGAAGAGGAACCATTGTTCAAGAGAAACAAATTATAGACACCGGGGATCGCTGACGAAAAATGCAGTATATCCCCATAGATGTGTGAGATTATGCATGTCAATAGCAGCTGCTATCTTCGCAAGCAGCCTGTCTGTTGCTTATGACATATGTCCTCTAGGCGCTGGAAAGTTAAATAGCCCTTCCATTTAAAGAGGTTGTGGAATGCTCGAAAACATTTCCGTCATTTTTTGGGTATATGTAGCCTAAGGTGTGATGAAATATAAACGACTATTGTTTCTGTCATGAAATGAGTACAAAGGGTACTTTTGAGAGCTATTTTTCAGGTCCTGTTTTGACCCGAACGTGCAATTTGTGAAAAGTTGTCGTTGCGGGCAGCAAACAAAACACAGTGAATCGTGACGTAATAAACAGGACTCATGTATGCTACTGTGCATCGGGAGTCCAGTTTATTACGTCACGATTTACTGTGTTTTGTTTGCTGCCCGCAACGACGACTTGTACACAAATTGCACGTACGGGTCGAAACAGGCATGACAGGACTTGAAAAACAGTTCTCAAAAGTACCTTTTGTACTCATTTTATAACAGAAACAAGAGTCGTTTTTATTTCATCACACCTTAGGCTACATATACCCGAAGAATGACGGAAATGTCTTCGAGCATTCCACAACCTCTTTAACATTCGCATTGTCAAATAAGCATAAATAAAGATTTAGAGCAGCAGCCCAGAGCATTTTGGTCAAACGAACAAGGTACCAATGTCCAAGCACAGAAACATTTATTGTGTAACCTAACATATTCAGATATGGATGTCTGCCGGGAACCCCCTGCTGCATGTGGCCCCTCGGGGCCCAAAAGAAGGGGGCAAATAATTGGCTTGATCAAACATTGGAGGTACCACATAAAACCAAGTTTGAATGAACAATTACACCCTACTAAGTATAAAATATCCATTGCCTGACAAAATAATTGTCTGCTGCATAGGGCCCGCCAGACACATCCAAAGTGGATGGAGAAGGGGCGTGGCCGTCACCCCCTCCTTTTCTTTTTCGCTGATACGGTTACAACGTGATTACGAAGAAACTAGTTTATATTGATGCCTTAGCACTTGTAGAAAATGAAAATGTAACTTAAGAGTGATTTCAGGTCAGGCTTATTAGTTTAAGAGTGGGGCAGAAAGTGCGAAGGGGGCATGGCCGCCACCCCCTCCGTGTACATATCCGCTTATATCGTCGCAATGCAATTTTTGAATAATGCCAAATTTCTCTGACAGGTGTGCTAATGTCTTCCAGTTATTTTGACACCAGTTGTATGAAATTAGGGCATACCTTCGTCAACAAATGTTCATTTACCAGAACAGGTAGGCCTAAGTTAACTTTTCCCATTGAAAATGTACACGTATGCACATATGCATGGAGGTGCACATGAGAGTGGCTCAGGCTAACAGATCGAATTAAAACTTCCCAGATGCGTTACAAATTTAAGAGTATGAAAGTAAAAGCATGTTTTATTGGTGCCTTGGTAGTTTTAGAAAATTACATCATAAGAATGATTTCAGGTTAGACAAAATTAACTTAGGAAAAGAGTGGAGGGGCGTGGCCGCCACCCCCTCCATGTGCATTTTCGTCCATATCGTCACAATGTGTTGTTTTTAATCCTGCCAAGTTTCTCTGACATATTTATTGATGTATTTCAGTTGCTTTGAAACCAATAATATGAAAATAGAGCACATCTTCGTCGTCAAACGTCCGTTTTCCAAAACAGGGAAGCCAAATGTTAACTTTTCCATGATCATGTTTAATGTCTATGACAGTGCGCATGAGAGTGCCGACTTTAGATGACCATGGCAACTAAGTATTTTGAGAAGTTCAATTGAAAGTTCACATATGTACTACATATGTCCGGTGGTGTTTTTTTTTTTTTTTTTTTTTTTTTTTTTTTTATCTTAGTACCGGTAATTACATTGAAACACACAGGACTAGCAGGAGATGACTAGTCATAGAACAGTAACGGCTTTGTGGATTGGGCTGAAGATGGAAATGAATCTTAATGGGCAGCAGTGCAGGGCGGTTAAGGTCAAATATTTTGTACAAAATTGAGCACAATTTAACACATTTTTCAATGGAATATATAGCAGTATTCACTATTACACCAGTTGTATCCATATCGACTTGGGTAAACCACGTGTTAACTCTTTATCAATCCAACTGGTCACCGTCAGAGTGCGACGTCTGACCGATGTGCCTGTTGTAAATATTCATTTGCACCTGCTTCGGCATTGAAAAAAAAGGGGGGGGGATGGAGACCAGAGGTTGTGAGCAAATTGTCTCTGGTGTCTAAATTCGTAACAAGAAAAAGGTCGCATTTGAAGTAAAGTGGGTATACAAAGTTCACTCAGTGACCTCTCAAAGGTCACCAGAGGTCAGACATGAACTGTCCATATAGCCTTTGTGGAAATTCATATCATGGCAAGAAGTTTAGGTGTGGGTCGTGAAAAAGTAGGGTTTACTTAGTTAATACATAGTCCACCTGATGTTCCCCAATACCGATGTTTCCCGAGATCGTTGGGATAGAGGGCTAGGGTTAGGCGTAGGATTAAGGTTAGGGTTAGAATAAGGGTTAGGGTTATAGGGTAAGGATTTCGGGGAACATTGGTATTGGGGAACATCGGTATTGTGGAACATAAGTATGCACCTGCTCCATGGTTAATATCACCATTGAGGTTTTTCTACCCTCATGATTTCACCAAAAACCTTGGGCATTAAGTTAATTGATCTCTTGAAGCACACCAGAGGTCAGAGATGGAATGCCCTTCACGAACATTCTTTTCATAGCATAAACAACTGCAATTAGAATTGTTCTAAAACAAATTGCCCAAGTTAACTGTATTCCCGATGATATAAAAGTAGCTCAGCAAGCTGATCCTACTCTGAGGAAGATCCGCGAACTGTCTGATCTGAAAGATGAAAAGACTGGTGAAGACGGATGCTCCTCTCGGTTTGTTACACACGGAGGTTTACTGTATCGACAATTTCAGTCGGAAAGGTTCAGCCAGGGCAACGTAATTCATCAGCTGGTGGTACCCGCTAAGTATAGGAAACTGGTTATGAAGCTTGGTCACGAGGCCATCATTGGAGGACACCAAGGAGCCAAGAAGACTGCGGACAAGATACTAACTGATTTCTTCTGGCCCGGCATTCACTCGGAGGTAACGCGTTTTTGTCGATCGTGCGACGTTTGTCAACGCACAGTACAGAAGGGTAGAGTGACCAGGGTTCCTCTCGGTACTATGCCACTTATAGATACTCCGTTCGATAGAGTAGCTGTCGACATTGTTGGCCCTATCCATCCCATGACGAGCAACAAGAACCGTTACATCCTCACAATTGTGGATTATGCAACAAGGTATCCTGAGGCCATCGCCCTCCCCCGCATAGAAGCCACTCGAGTCGCCGAGGCCCTTGTAGATGTCTACACTCGAGTAGGAATACCTCGTGAGGTGTTAACTGATAAAGGCAGCCAGTTCACACCTGACGTCATGAAGGAGGTCAGTAGGTTGTTGTCAATCCGCCAACTTACCACCACGCCTTACCACCCTGCTTGCAATGGTATGGTTGAACGGTTCAATGCCAGTCTCAAGAACATGTTGAAGCGGATGTGTGCGGAACGACCGACTGATTGGGATCGTTATCTCAACCCTCTTCTCTTTGCCTATCGTGAGACACCTCATGACAGTACAGGCTTTTCCCCGTTTGAGTTGCTCTACGGGAGAACTGTTAGAGGACCCATGGCAATTTTGAAGGAGCTCTGGACAGGAAAAGTGGAGTCCGACACTGAGGTCAAGACAACCTACCAGTATGTGATAGATCTCAAGGAGAGATTGGAGAATACCTGCAACTTAGCACAGAAGGAGCTGATGAAGTCTCAAAGGAAGAACAAAATGTACTACAATAGGAAGAGTAGAGAGAGAAGTTTCAAACCAGGCGACAAAGTCCTGATCCTCCTCCCGACAGACAAGAATAAGTTGCTACTTCAGTGGAAGGGTCCCTTTGATGTTCTGGCGAAGATTGGTACATGTGACTATCGTCTTGATTTACATGGTAACACCAAGACGTTCCATGCCAATCTGCTTAAACGATATGTTCAGCGTGAGGAAGCAAGTCTTCTGAGTGTGGTTAGTTGTGATAGTGGTATTGTTGATGTCATATGCACTGCAACTGTAGAGGATGAAGACGGCCCTAATGACGAAAGCGGCCATGTCACTGGTAAAGCTGGGTTAATTGAATTTCCAGTATTAAAGGCCAGTGAAACTGTAGCAGATGTCACCCTGTCTGGTGATCTGTCAAAGGAACAGACTCATGAAGTTAGGCGACTCCTTGGCAATTTTAGTGACATTATGACGGACTTGCCTAGTGAGACGACAGTTGGGGTACATGACATCAAGCTGTCTACTGATGAGCGCATACACCAGAAGCCATATCCACTTCCACACAACATGAGGGATACAGTTGCTGACGAAATTAAACAAATGATGGAATTGAAGGTTATTGAACCGTCAGATTCGCCATATTCGTTCCCGATTGTCATCGTGAAGAAACCTGATGGAAGCAACAGATTCTGCATTGATTTCCGGAAGCTAAATCGAGTAACTATCTTCGATGCAGAACCGCTCCCCAACCCTGATGAGATATTTGCGTCGTTATCCGCAGATCGTTTCTTCACTAAGCTTGATTTGACCAAGGGTTATTGGCAGATACCGCTGACCGAGGAGAGTAAACCTAAGACGGCATTTGCGACACCGTTTGGCCTCTTCCAATTCCGCGTCATGCCCTTTGGTCTAATCAACGCTCCGGCGACATTTAGTCGACTGATGAGGACCGTGCTGCGAGAGGTGTTGAATGTTCACAATTACATTGATGACATTCTGATTCACACAACCTCCTGGCAGGATCACCTAAAGACACTGAAGGAAGTGCTGAAAAGGCTTCGAGAGGCAAAGCTCTCAGCGAGACCAAAGAAATGCCAAGTTGGTTTTTCCAGCATCCACTTCCTTGGACACATCATAGGCCACGGTCAACTCAAACCTCACCCAGATAACATCGAGAAGATAAGAAGTGCTCCGCGACCAACGACTAAGAAGCAGATGAGGTCATTCTTGGGACTCTGTAACTACTACAGAAAGTTCATCCCAGATTTTGCGGCAATTGCAGTACCTCTAACTGACAAGACCAAAGGTCGCGAGCCCAACAAGATCATTTGGACTGAAAGTCAAGAGTTGGCTTTCAACTCGTTGAAGAAGCATCTGACGAGCCGCCCTATCCTTTGTCTACCAGACTTTGAGCGCCAGTTTATTTTGAGAACCGACGCCTCTGACATAGGAATTGGAGCGATGCTGTTGCAGGAATATGATGATACCAAACAACCTGTCGCATTCGCAAGCAAGAAACTTCTTCCCCGTGAGCGAGCCTATTCTGCAATGGAAAGGGAATGTCTTGCCATCGTCTGGGGAATCCAGAAGTTTCAGGTCTTCCTCGATGGGAAGGAGTTTGTCCTTGAAACTGACCACCAGCCGTTAGTCTATCTTCAGAAGGCCAAACTCATCAACAGCAGGATCATGCGGTGGGCTTTATCATTGCAGCCCTATAAATTCCTCATTGAAGCCATTTGAGGAATCGACAACGTCGGTGCTGACTTCTTGAGTAGGGTACCAGTGTGAATATATCACTGTTGGTATCCGTCGATCGATATAAGTATCAATCCCAAGTGTAAATATGTACAGTTTTTGTTTTGTTGTTTATAAGTTGTGACATCAGGTGGAGAGAAAAATCTAAGATTTTTCTTAAACGGGGGGTAATTGTAAGCCCTGATGTCTTTTCTGTTAAATTAAACTTTTCAGTAGACTTGTATCCGTTGAATAGAATGAATAAACATGAGCCGGTGAACGTTTTGGTGTTTATGTAAATCATTTCTTTCTGTTAGGAGCCATGGTATGTGCACGTACAAAGAGTTAAATAGTTCTTATTGTGTGTTGCTAAGAGATGTGTGTAAACGAAGGTAGAGATTGGGTGTTAGACGGGTGGGTCGTGATTGCCGGGAAAATTCAAGAAGGACAGAACGCTCAGAGCTGATAGCGATCGCACTGCGAAGTCGCCAAATTTGCAATGGAATATACTATGATTTTGTTGTTGTTGTAGGCCAAAGGAAGCCTTGCATACCGTGAGTATTATTCAGTTATTCAGTGATCTATAGTACAACTGAATTTTGAGTTTTTATGTTTCGTTTAGTGATTTTTATGACGTTTTCTGTAAACATATGCATTTGTATTGCACGTGATAGACGTGGTTCTAAGATCAGATTTTGATGGCGTCATTAGTTAATACATGAGTGTATTCGATTTCAACATATTGGAATATTTATTTAAATATTAAGGAAGAATGCTCAGAGTTTTGGTTTTCTTTTTAAAAATTGATAAATCACGATATATTTTGCTTGAGTAAGATATTCATATTCTGAGACTAAAGAGGGGTAAGGTTTGATTTAAAGACACCCGTTTTATTGTAAAAGCCCGTAGAAAGAATTTTGGACATTTGATTAATATTACAGATGGCTCATTTGTGAGGACTTAATGAACCAGTGGAAAGGCTTGTCGGGGAAGGACATGGATCCTTACTAGGAGAGAAGGACATGATGGTTGTTCCCCACACACACACCGCACCCAAGGCGTTCTAACCGGTCCCTCCCTGCCAACCGTCGATCACAGACGACGGAGAAACTGCATGGTGGCGCCTTCAACACGGCAGCCCAAGATTTGGCCCAGACCCAGCACAAGACCTGGAGGACAGGAACGCCAAGAGATCGCGAAGACAAAAAAAGTGATCAAGTGTGGTGGGCCCATCACTTTGTTTTAAAATAATAGATTTGTTGGTTAAATAGAAATTTTGATTGAATTTGGTTTCATCAAAAGTTGAAAGAAAAGCGCTGGTTTGATTGAAATTGTTGAATTGTTGAATTGTTGAATTGTTGAATTGTTGAATTTTGTGGAAAGAAAGAAAGAAAGAAACAAAGAAAGAGGAAATTTCACTTGATTTTAGTTGGATTCGAAAGTTTTCGATTTGAAAAGAAGATACTTTGACTTGTGCACAAGAGAGTTATTGTTTTATTATTTTGATTAAGGAATTTCTATAATTTTTGTTTTGGTTTTATATTTCTATTAATTATTGAGTAAATTTAATTTCACTATTTAGATTTAAATTGTTTGTTTATTTTGGTGTTTAAGTAATTAGTTTACTAAATTTCTTGATATTTATCAAACGTGTTAGTTTTGTTTCCTTTGTTTTTCAACCTTGTCTTTAGAGAGAATGTTGGCAAACAGCCCGAAATTTAAGTTTCTGCGCGTTTTTACAGCCGCGCGTTACATTAACTACTTGTAGTTGTCGAATAAATAACCTACAAATGTACACAAAAGCCATGACCTCTGCCCATTTTGAATTTTTCCATATCGGATCATTACATATACTGTATATAGAACCATACGAATTGTTTGATCTCAAAGTAAACAACTGTTTAAGATTTTTGACTTGAACAGTCGATACTGCTCAATAAGATTCAATTCCATCTTCAGACTCAAGTCCAAAACCCACTTTGACTAGTCATCTGCTACCTGTGTGTTGTAATTACTTATAAAGTTTTATAATAAGAGGACCACTTGACATCTGTAGTGTAAGTTTTAACTCAACCTTTTATAAGCATTGCAAACATGTCAGAGAAACTTGGTACGATCAAAACATGCATTGTGACAATATATACATGTAGGCACAAATGCAAATGGAGGGGGTTGCGGCCAACTCTTTTTGCACCACAAGTTAATTTGTCTACTCTAAAACCGGCACATTGTAATTTTTTTAAAACTACCAATTAAGGCACAACAAAAACTGGTTATATTTTCGTACTCTTAATTTTAATGCATCTGGGAAGTTTCAAATGAATTCGATCTGCCACTCCTGGATCTGGTACTACTGGTACCATGCACATGTGCATGTGTGTACATTATCAATGGTAACAGTTGTTCAATTATGAATGGGAGCTCTGTTTTCATGGTTTCAAAACAACTCAAATACATCAGTAAACATGTCAGAGGAACTTGGCGCCATTAAAAACAAACACATTGTGACGATATAGACGAAAATACACATGGAGGGGGTGGCGGCCACGCCCCCTCCACTCCTTTCTTAAGTTAATTTGTCTAACCTAAAATCATTATTAAGATGTAATGTTCTAAAACTACCAAGGCACCAATAAAACATGGGTTTGTTTTCATACTCTTAAATCTGTAATGCATCTGGGAAGTTTCAATTCGATCTGTTAGTAGCCACTCTCATGTGCACTTCATGCATATGTGCATAAGTGTATATTATCAATGGAAAATGTTAACTTAGGCCTACCTGTTCTGGAAAATGAACATTTGTTGACGAAGGTATGCCCTAATGGCATACAACTGGTGTCAAAATAACTGCAAGACATTAGCAAACCTGTCAGAGAACTTTGGCATTATTTTAAAATTGCATTGCGACGATATAAGCGGAAATGTACACGAAGGGGGTGGCGGCCACGCCCCCCTTCGCGCTTTTGCCCCACTCTTAAACTAGTTAGTCTGACCTGAAATCACTCTTAAGTTACATTTTCATTTTCTACAAGTGCTAAGGCATCAATATAAACTAGTTTCATTTTTTTCGTAATCATCATGTTGCAACCGTATCAGCGAATCTGAAAAGGAAGGGGTGACGGCCACGCCCCTCCTCCATCCACTTTGGGTGTGTCTGGCGGGCCCTATGCAGCAGACAATTAGTCTGGCAGTGAATATTTTATACTTAGTAGGGTGCAATTGTTCATTCAAACTTGGTTTTATGTGGTACCTCCAATATTTGATACAGCCCATTATTTGCCCCCTTCTTTTGGGCCCCAGGGGCCACATGCAGCAGGGGGTCCCCGGCAGACGTCCATATCTGAATATGTTACGTTTCACAATAATTGTTTCTGTGCTCGGATATTGGTACCTTGTTCGTTTGATCAAAATGCTCTGGGCTGCTGCTCTAATTATACTGTATTCATAAACTAGTATTTTGGTTATCATTTTAATTGTAGTCATTCTCATGGGTTATAGAGGCATTAATCTGTATGACCGAGCACGTCACCATTTCCTTTTTTTACGCTCCGCCATTGGGCATGCAAACCTCGACGGATCTGGCAACTTTACACAATAAAAAGGGCCGGCTCAGTGATCTGAACCCCGACACGGGAATCACTGAACCGGCTATATTTATTGTGTAAAGTTGCCAGATCGAGGCGTGCATTCCCATGGCGGAAGTGGGAAAAGAGCGATTACAGTTGGTAATCATCATCAAGGCCGTATTTCAAACGGAGGATTCTGGTTCAGCTTCGGCTGCACGTCTGCCCCAGGAACCAAAATAATAGGAGAGCCTCAAACCCGTTACATTTAAATGAATTAAAGTATAATATGAACAATGTATCTGTACAGTTTATATATATTGTATCGGCGCACGGCCGCATGGTGGCGTTTTCACCAAGCTGGAAATTGGGGGTGAAGCCACTTTCAGCGCGCGCGATATCTCGTTGCCTGGGAATCCAGGCACGATAGTGCACGCGCGCGTATCTTAGTCGTAGGATGGGCCAAAATAAGCAGAAATTGGGTTGGCTGAGGCTGGTTGAAGAAAGACAGAAACAATGCTGGTTAGATACCAGATTAAATAATGTGAGTACATAATTTGGCGGAAGATTGAGGAGAATCAGAATAGACAGAAAGAGAGAAGTTCATCCTTGTGTCCGTGTCACATTTATTGTATTCGTTGTATCGTGCTGTTTGTCTTGTTTCTACCTTACGTTAATTTTAGCATAATCGTCCCACAGAAAATAGCCCTTAGACGGCGAGGACTCGTTTAAAAATCACAGCGTAAGGTTCAGCAGTCACCTGCGAAAGGTTTACTCTCCGACAGCCTTCGGAGGTGTTTAACACGGCGGTGGTTTGACCGAGCCGTTAGTTGCGACAGGGAGTTTAACGGACAGGGAGTTTATCGGTTTGAGCCGAGCCGCACAACGTAAAATCCGGGAGCTCCGGATCAGAAGGCTGCTCCGGGAACTCCGGATCAGAGAGACCGCTCCCGGAAATCCGAAACAGCAAAGGCGCTCCGGGAGTTCCGGATCAGAAAAACCGCTCCGGAAGTAGAAAACAATTAAAAATACCTGACCAATCAGAAATATTAGGTTCTGAGATTAAATACAAGAAGGAAATGGACAGAGCAAAGGCAAGGCTAGGTCGGGCTATGGACTACTCGTCCATGAATGGGCCGGATCTGTACTGTTTCTTGGAGGGGGAGTACCAACGGGTTTCTCAAGAAATAGAAACACTCTCTCAAGGACTGGGTCGGTTCCTAGGAGGCAAGTCGCTCCCAAATGTAACCGCCGGAGAGGATGCAACGTCGCTCGATATGCCATTCCCCGAGGAACGGGACATTCCCCTGCAACCGGTAGGAACAAAAACACAAGTCGGATCTCAGGCTAATATCAGGGATTCTAGGCTGAGAAAGGATTACTCCTTACGGGGAGACTCGGGAATACATGTAGATCTTCCAGGAAACCAGTTGCAATCTAACC